AATTTCTGATCATATGCGCAGCCTTCCGCCCTTATAGAATTGCAGTTCTCAGTCGGGAATGGAATCGTGGTTGATCCCTGCGCAGTCACAGTGCTGACTTCTGGCGCAAGCGCTGAGTTATTTCCTGGATTGCTCCCGACGGGCCTGCGGGGGATTGAACGCTGTCTTGAACACGAAGGGGTCGTCGCAGAGCGTAAAAGGTGGGGTCCACTGCCAGAAGGGCCGCTCCGCACAGGCAATGACCTCACGGCGGAAGGATAGCACTTTGGGCAGAGATGTGTTGACGGCGGGGCGCCTGAGGATGATACATAGGTAAAGAGGATTTCAGTCGATCTGGGTAAAAAGAAAGATCCGTTCCACTCAGCGCAGACTGCTTCTATCCTGGCTTGACGCTCGTCATCCCCTTCCTGGGCACAGTCCTTACGGTCACGCTGAATTTCAGCGCGGAGCTTACGGGGTAGATGAGCCTGGCTGGCGGCGGGAGCCAAATGCGGCGGGAATAAGTAATTGAGGAATGTGTCCCAGTCATGCTGGGTAATTTCAACAGAGCGACGCCGCAGACATTTAGGATAACGATGGTAGTCTCTCGGTTGGCTTCGGGGATAGATTGTCAGGGTGTGTTGGAGAAGCTCCTGTGGCTCTGCATGTTGAGGAACCGGTGGGGGCCGCTCCCTGAAGTATGGACCTGCAGAGATGAAGTTTGGAACGGAGACAAGACTGTCGTAAGTCGGTACTGGGGTATCATTATTGTCAACATGAGGTTCCTCTGCCGCGGCGTCTGCGTCTATGGCAGACTCGGTGCTTGAAGCCGGGGTGAGTGGGTCAATGGGGGTATAGGGAGGCGGGGCGTCATCCGGGCTGCCGGGAATCGAGGCCATGTTGAGCTGCATACAAATAATGCCTTCATTCAAGCCCACGCCGGAGGAGTTTGGTACTCTTATATATGTCTATGAGAGGGGTTTTAAACTACGCTGTACAAGATGGATGGGATATATCCGGATGCGATGAAGAGGGCCCAGGAGCTATTTTAAACTATTTCCACCAGGCTAGCGCTGGCCAAATTGCTGATTAGCGCCGATTCCCGTGCCCGTTGTCGAAACTAGGCAGCGACATTATTTCTCCTGTTCATGCATCGCACAAGGCGCAGCGTCTCTGCCCAATAGTCATGAAGCTGTCCTCCGTCGATTCCTCTGGGAAAGGCCGAGAATGTTGAACGGCAGTCACCTTTGTCCAAAACATCCATGCGGAGTATTCCGTAAATACGAAGGAATTGCGTAGTTGACTTCCATTGGAACGCACGACTAATTTAATCTTTGCGGAAACTTGCATCTTTCAAGCCGGCTACTGGTTACAACTTACTCCCATTCCCATCATAATTGTTGCCTTATTTACCTCGTACCAGAAATTATATCGGTGCCTTCGCGCTGCGCCGGATGCATGCTGCGTAAGTTATCAGGCCGGGTAACTTGCGCTTGAATCCAGTGACGTCATTTTGAGGCACATCCAGCGATACTTGAACAAACGAAACAGGAAGGGAAATTATTAGGAAATAATATCCATTGGCGCCTATGTCGATCTAAATGGGCTTTAGCTACCTAGATAAGTCAGTGATATCCCACTTAAGAATTCTCGCACGTTCAGGTATCGAAGGTTCAAATTCTAGCGCTAAAAGCGACCCACAGATATACATACAGGAAAAACTATATACTGCATGTACATGTACATGTACAATAGTCTTCACGGAGTCGAGCCTTGATGGACGCCGCGTCTATACTTTGTCCTAGTCAAGCAAGATATTGGCGAAGGCCGCACAGCTGAGAAGTTATTCGAAATATGGGCTTATCCAACTAGATGTAAAACTCTATATACGCGCTCCATACAATATAATTTTCAATTAACCCAGCTATGGTTCTTCGATCCCAGCACCTAAAGCGTCGACAAGATTATATAGATCTATGACCCTTTCTTACAAAGATACACTTTCTCCAGCGCGTCACATACTCATCCTCAACCCTCCATTAGCACATACCACGCTCCCGGTACACCACTGCCCATCCTTCGTGCACAGCATGCCCACCACCCCAGCAATCTCATCCGTAAAAGCCGGCCTCCTCCCTCCCATCTTCTCCCACACGAGCCTTTGAGTCTCCTCACTCAATCTTTCCGCACCCGTCCCCGCAAACCCATCATCCACCACAAGCTTGCTGCCAGGCGTGTTGTCCTGCCAGCCCTGCATCGTCTTCCAAAAGTCCTCGCCCGCCTCCCAGTACATATCCCCAATAACTGGGCCCGGGTTGATGGCATTGACGGTGGCGCGGTCGCCAAGTTCACGCGCCCACGTCCGCGTCATGGCTTCGATCGCCGCCTTGGTCCCCCCGTAGACACTCTGCCCTTCAAAGCCCAAGCTTGCACTAACGCTTGAGAGGTTCACAATTCGCCCGGATCGGTCCTGTGGCAGGTGAGGGGCCACGGCTTGCGTGAGGAGCAAGGGGGCCAGGACATTGACGGTGTACATGCGGTGGAAGAATTCCGCATTAATGGGCCCGCGCACGGGGTCGTTGAGGCGGATATCGCCCCCGATGCCAGCATTGTTAATTAGGATGTCGATGGTTAAGCTGTTGGTGAATGAATTGGTGAAGTGGTTTTGGGCACTGGTAAGAATTTTATTGACTGCTGCGGTGGGCTCGCTGAGATCTGCCTGGACACTTATGCAGCGGATGGAGTGGGTTTTGGTCAGCTCTTCACACAGCTGAAGTGTCCGCTCCGTTGAGGAAGTGGAGGTATAGTTGAGAAGAAGGGAGCAGCCCTTCGATGCCAAGTTATGGGCAGTTGCTGCTCCAATGCCTTTTTGAGAAAATGTGTTAGTATATGTTTCTTGTACATATGTGCGCGTGCTTTCCTGGAGTACATAGTTGTTGAACTAGTGGGAAGGGGGACAGCATTCGTCACAGCGATTAATTTAAAAGTATAATTAGAATGTATTTACCCCTTGAACCCCCTGTGATGATGGCAAATTTCCCCTCCAATGGCCTTAACCCCTCGGCCGACATGATTATTGACAAGGGTTTTTGCAGGGTGGTTTCAATCTTTGCCCAAAGTTAGCTACGACAGACGCCTATTTGTGGCTCAGCCTGCCGTAAATAGGTGTGTAAACCCAAGCTCAAATCAGTCGTTATATATGCTGCTAAATTACCTCACATAATGCACAAAATACGAAAGCAAACTCAATGACATAAAGGCAACGCCAACTCTGAAAGTTGACTATGAAGACGACGTTCCCATTGACGTCATCGTTCCCGGCGGGGAACAAACGGCCAAGACTGCAATCACTCGTCCGTCCATCAAAAAAAAAAGGCACCAAAAAATACAAAAAAAGAATGATGACAAGAGTGGGATTTGAACCCACGCCCCTTTCGAGACCAGAACCTTAATCTGGCGCCTTGGACCGCTCGGCCATCTTGCCTTTGATGAATATTTCGTCGGTGGACAGTGGATGCTGAGCAAAATCTCGTAGCTGTGGGTTTGAGATGGGACGAGAATCTTTTTTAACTTTTAATTAAAGTTTAAGTTAAGGTTAGGGTTGGACTAGCCGCATTTGCATTAGCAAGCGCGAGCCCGCGAGCGCTCGCTTAGCGCTAGAGGAAAGCATGTAGAATTTAGTAGAGATTCAGAGAATCGAAAAAAAAATTAAGAAATGCAGGCTGTTTGTATCCACGATGGGACAAGGGCGTTTGTATCCAGATCACCAGACACGGAGATAGCAGCGACGGGTTAAATATTGATTGTTGGTGTCGTTGAGGCCAACCGGAGGTCATTGATCGAGTGGCGTGAAGCGATATTCAACAAACCAGCATCATTGGTCTAGTGGTAGAATCCATCGTTGCCATCTGATCTGACGAATAAGTCGGTCACGTGATCGAAATTCGATGGGGCCCGTGTTCGATTCACGGATGATGCATTAGAATATTCTTTTTTTCGTGTTTTATTTTTTTTGTATCTTGGTTCATTCTTCTTTTCAGAGCATTGTATACTTTGAGAGATACTGTAAAGCAATTTTTTAAAATCTCGAGCTAGAAGTGCCGATGACAGTCATGGGCAGTTTGTAACTCTGACATTGGAAAACTCGTAGCTTTATCATGGTTTTGGGAACTTGTTCGTTGAATTGAGTATGCAAAAGTGGTATAAGTGAAAAATGGATATGTATATATATCCGTATCCACGGATTTTAATTCTAGCTCACGTCATGCATAAGGACTGCCACACGGCCGCAATCTTTTGACAACAAATATTTACCAATTCACCGGCACTATTGACGGTACAATATTCAGGAAACGGGTTCGCTTTAGGTAATGCCTTCAAGTCACTATTTCACATAGGCTGTATGTACTCTATATATAACGCGATACAAATCCAATTACCAAAGACACCAATGCTAACGGCTGCACTCGTTACACAAGTATAAATATGGGTTAAAAGTGATATAGATGCAGACAACCTGCAGACAGATGCAGTCTTTGAGCGAGCAACTAAACTTCTCATTAAAAACAAAAGACTAGAGATATTAATCCCAAGCATCCCCCCAATCATCCTCACCCCCGTCTTCTTTCGGTTTCGTATCGATCGTTTTAGCTGGTTGGGAGGACGTTCTACCTTTGACAGACGAGTTCTTACTGCTCGGGACGGATGCTTTTGATGTGCTTGTTAGCCGCGTGGCACCCGCGGCTTTTGTGTTGGTGGATTTGGAGAGCCCTTTGGGTAATGGCTTTTTAGATTTGGCTTTGGACTGGGCGGCTAACCACCCAGCAAAATCGGGTTCTCCGCCGTCATCAAATGTCGTGTGCGTAGATGTTGTAGGTCGACTGGGAGAAGGGGATCTCTTAGCGTCAAAAAAGGCGTCGGACCCGTCATCTTCGTTAACCTCATCCTCCATAGCTCCCCACGCATCAAACGCGTCTTCTTCTTCCTCATGTTCAGGTTCCAATTTGGAATCGTCAGGTGGAGGCTCCGATGCAGTTCGAGAAATATGTGGTGCATCGGGCCGCAAGGCTTCCCTTGATTTATTAACCTGAGCAGATGGCGACGATCTCGCTGTATGTGGCATCGACGAAGCCCGGGTTGTAGCTACAGCAACAGACTGACTGCCATTAGATGTTGGCTCAATTTCACCATTCGCACTTGCTATCTTATTCGTAAATGACGAAATTGCCCATCCTGCCCAGGATGTGTCATTTGGCGTACCCATCCGTGCAGCGCCTGCGACCTGAGCATCAGAGTGGTTCTGGGCTGGTAACACTGTATCAGGCAGCGATGCACTGAACTTGCGAATGCGCTGAAGATATAAATCAAGCGTTTTGTTTGCTTGGTCCCGGACAAGCCTATTCATCAGTCAGTGAAAATTGCTTTTGCGCCTGGTGCCTGGCATGGGGAAACTCACTTCTCCTTGTCCAATAAAGAAGGACAAATTGCCGGCAACAATTTTGTTGCACAGTCCTCCTCAGTAAATAGGTCTAGAGTTGCACCTAGAGCAAGGAGACCTGCGTTTCGGGCATGGACGAACGGATCCCTCAGGGAACGACTGAATGCAGCTGTGAGGACTTTGGTTCTTGACTGAATAAAAAGTTTGATATTAGCAATGGCTCGTAATTAGCCAGAATAAAAGGAAGGAACTTACACTTTGCCCTAGGTTCCTTGCAATTCGCCCGAGACATATGGTCGTGTTTGTTCGGATGCCTGGTTGCTCGTCATTGGCAGTTTTGGCGAGGTGTCGCAACAGTTCGCCGTTGATGGTTCGGTCAGAGAGTTTCCCGATGACAGCGAGTACTGCTTTTACAGTCTGCTCCCTTACAACCGGGGCGATATCGGTAAAACCAGTTACCTAACAACAGACGTTAATATTTAAATAAATATACTCAATCGCTCCCATGTTATAAAACATACCATCTGGGGAAATATTTTATCGTTAACAATTTTCTGTGGGAGGCGGTCGATCATCAAAGGGAGATTATCAAGCAAACAAACACGCATAGCACGGTCAGGGTTGCCAAATAACCGTACGATAACCGGTATAAGTTTACTGGAATACTCCTCTTCTGAGAGCTTCGTGCCGATCTTTAAAATCGAAGCAAAAACTTTTGGTCCTCCGCCGCCAAACTCAACAGATTTTAGCAACTCAGGCAAGACCTTCATTTTAAAGAAATCCTCAGGGAAATCATCCGACAGCTCATCGAGTTCACTAGAATAGCCAGATTAGACAAAGAATCACCCAGGCTGTTTGGAAAATACGTTGACATACTTAATAAATTGATCCCGTTCCTCCTCACTTTTCAATCCTAGACTTTCAATATCCTGGGTGAGCCGTATTAACGGAGTTTCAAAGAAGCCTCCACTGCGTTTTCCTTGTTCCAGGAAATGGGTCACGCTGAGTCTTAGCTTTGGGTTGGGGTTCATAAGTCTCTTGTAACTTTGATGCATGCTTGGCGGGACATTTGAGATCTGGCCTGCTTGGTCGTTCCCTCTATAGCTACCATTAAAAACCTCGAAAATAAGGCACCCAAAATTGTAAGAATCCGTCGCAGATAGTGGGTTGCGTTTGATAGTTTCCCAGCCGCCGCCTTTCGCGATCTCTGGGGGTGCATAACGTGAAGAATCTGGCATGAGGCTACCATATGTCTACCACAATATTAATCACCAGTGTTTTTGTGTTGGCGGGAGCAAGGGAAACGAACGTATATTATAGCATCGTCTTCTTTCATGGAGCTGAGTATATCAAACCCGCCCAGTTTCCATTCCCCACTTTCGCTTGTGTAGATAGAGGAGGCCCGGACCGCCCCGTGAACCGACGACGCATCTTCGTTGATAAATTTAAGCGTTGACTACAAAAGTTCCCAGAATTAGTAACAAATACCTTCCAGTAAAGAAGTAGCAAAACTCACAGCAATTGCAAATAAGCCCCATTTTGCGGTTTCCTCGCTCAGGCTCCTCCTTTTTACCGGCCATGAAAGCGGAGTGATCCTTTCGGTCACGATATAAATGTTCGCGTCTGTCTACGCCTTCCGTCAATCTTCTTGTTCCTGTAGTAGCATCTCAATATCAGACAAAAGAGGTATCCCCACCTCTATCGTTTCTAGCACTTTGACAACCCCGGGATGTCTGAGGGTACGGTGTTTGCGAACTGCGTTTTTGGCAAGTGGTAGGCGGGATTTATTTGCTGCAATATCAAATGTGAATATGCTGCACGATGAGCCATCTTCCTAGATTGTCGAAAAGAAAATATCTAGATTAGTCCCAGCATATTAATGGAGGCAGGTTTGGATCGCGTATTCTAAACCCATACCCGCTTTGTGCCATTGTGAAGTGTCCAGATGGAGTCGTTATCATCAACCCGGTCGCCGAAGCTGTACGGAAACGAGCTGCCCTTGGCAATAGCCGAAGCAACAGCTGATTTGAGAAAATCCATTTCCAGAAAATAAAGAAGAGGTGATATATTCCGCCCCGCAAGTAGATCAAACAAGGGTAATCGGGGCTGTAGTGTCCCCTCCTTGCAGTAGGAAAATAGGAAGTTGGAGGTCAAATAAACGTTTGAAATAGACGGTATATCATTATCATAAAAGACATAAAACTCAAAAACACAACTGGGTATCAGGATATCTGCACGGCTTGGAAGTTGACCGACCTGCAGGGGACCGCGGCCAAGCTGTTATTCCCATAACTGGCGTTCTGTCATTATGTCCTGATTGGGGTTAGCGCGCTACTTTAGCGCCTACACCCGCCGATGACCATTTTTGCCGCCGCAACTGCTTTTAATAACAACAAATCTTAACATTCCATTTCTCGATCACCAATACTAGAGCGAAAAGCTACGTTTTTGAAATAGCTAGCTTTATGAATATGTTTTATCGCCTCTTTTAAATTTACGAACCGACGTGAGCGTCTCAAATTCTAGAAAGGTCAGTTCCCAGCTCCCACCTCTACTGTGTTGTATTCCCCTCTTCCCCGCCTCAAGTCGAGAAGGACTCGCGCACCTATTTCCCCCCTTTTCATTCCTAAGAATCTCCTATGATGCGAAACTGGTAAAAGGTCAGACTCCCAAAAAACGCCAGGCAAGAGTTTTTGGTACATGCACAGAGGGACGCGGTACTCGCACCCCCCATCGGATAAGGCAAATGGGACTGTCGACGTGACGAGTTTCATCAATGTTTGCGAGGTATAATTCTTTTATCTTCTTCCTCTTGGTCCTCAGAAGAAAGGCCATGCCCTTCTTTTATGACTGATAAGGCGGATATACTGTGTCATTTTTTTTCTGAACTATGGGGTCGTGGAATCCCGATCGCCAAACTGGCAGGGATATTCTGGCTCTCTGTCGCCGCCCTCAACCTCTCGAACCGGTCTCTTCTTCTGATTCTCTCTGCTCCTCTTCGCTCTCTCCTCTCTTTAGGGGATAGACTGTCGCAGGCACACTGTCGGCAAGAGGGATCTGATTTCTGCCCCCATTAGTGAAATTACTGGGACAGTCATGAAGTTATCATGGAAGATCTCCTGGAGAAAAAAGAAGATAACAGTGTGTACAAGAAACGATTACCGCCACTTAACTGGAGTTCCTGTCCGCTTTGCTACATGAGGACACGGGGAGCTAATGGCAGTGGCGGACAATTATGATTTTGCCTAAATTACTGCGCGCGGAACCGGAGCTAGAGAGATCAGGCAGGAAAGGGATTGGCTTGGGAGCGAGAGGGAAGGCAGAGTTTGTCAGAATATCTCTCTCTCCTCTTGAGGAGGGAATCGTGGATTTCTCGGCTTTATTGGTGGAAAAATATCTTGATATCTGTTCTTCGCCGCCTCAGTCATGGATCGAGAGTACCCGCGAGATTGAGAAAGCGGAAGGCCCAGGAGAATTCCTGAGAAACCCCCGCGCCGCCCGCAAACGAAGTTTGTCGGTTCCACGTCACATTTGCCTTTTTC